CGGCCGACCCAGGATGGCACGACGACGTGCCCCACCACTCGCACCTCCTCATGGACGACGACGTCCTCATCGAGCCCCTCCTGGGACGGCGCCCCTGGATGGCCGCCAGGCTGGCCGAGGAGGGGGCCCGTAGAGTATTCGGGCCTCTTGCGATCAACGCGGAGAAGAAGGACGAGGAGGGAGAGTTCCGCGTGGACCAGATCTGCTGGGGGGCCCACGTGAACACGGAGGAGGAGACCCTGCGGCTCCCCGAGGAGAAGGTCAACAAGATCCGGATCCTGCTGAGTGACCCGGCCTACGACACGGGGAACACCCAGGTAGCCCTGAAGGATGTCCAGGTCCTCCGCGGCACCCTCGACTTCGCGGCCATCACCTGCCCCCCCCTCCGCCCCGAGTTGGGGGCGGTAGACCAGCTCCTCCGCACTGCGGACCCGGCTGGGGTTCGGGTCAAGATCAAGGAGAGCAGCGAGGGGAGGGAGAAGGACGCGTGGGACGAGTGGCGGGAGGCGCTGGAAGTTTTCCGCCTCTACGCGGGAGCGCCCCAGGCCTGGGCCACCCATTTTAACACAGGCTTGAAGGGGGTCCTCCAACCCCAGGAGCGGCTCGCCCTCCCCGGCGGAATGGAGGAGCTGGTCTGGACAGGAGGGGGCGCCACCGAGACCCGGGTGGGGGCCGCCGACTGGTCAAACGGGGTGTACGGGGTCATGGATGTCAAGGAGGTCATGGAGCCGTTCCACGCGGTTTTGGGGAGGGAGCCGACATCATCGCCATCTGCGAGCTGTTTACCTTCCTGGTGCTCGCGGTGGCCCAGGCCCCGAGATGGGAGGGGCGCCTGGTCCTCTACGTCACGGACAACACCAACACGGATATCTGGCTCAACAAGCGGACGGCGAAGAACCGCCTCGCCCGCTACGGACTGCGCCTCCTCCAGCTCCTGGAGACCCGCTACGGGTTCCACACGGTTACGGCGGGAATCTGGACCAAGCACAACAGCAGCATGGACCTCATCTCCCGGGAGACGAAGAGCGTAGTCCAGGAGGAGATGAACCGCCTCGGCTTGGAGGAGATCGACCTCAAGGGACCCTGGAGGGAAGTGCTCGCGGGGGCGGAGAAAGGCCGCCCTTTGGTCCTCCCTGGAGACTCGGAGGAGGGACGCCGGCTGGCTTACCAGCTGGTGGAGCGCCGCCGGGCGCGGGGACCGCCCGCCGGACCCTTGGCCGGGGTGCAGGTCTTCGAGTGGCGTGCGACCCTCTCCCCCCACTGCCGGGTGGCCGGAGAGATGGGGGCACGGATCGGAGCCACCACCCCCAATCCCGGTTCAGCCGTGAGCCACCCCTGGTGGGAGGGCCACCAGAATCGACTCGTGGCCGACCGGGCCGGGCGGGCCAGGACCGCGGCGAAGGAGACTTGGGTCACCTGCTCCAGTGGCAGCGACCCCACCGGCCGAGAGGCCCTCTACTTCGTGCGGTACGCGCTCTCCCACGCCGCCACCCTCGTCGTGCTGGACGGACCTCTGGGCCAGGATCTGGGGGGAGCCCGCGAGGTCTTGCAGGAGGGTGGGTACGACACTGCGGAGAGCGTGGTGCACACCCACCTCCTTGGGGGCCGGTGCGCCAGGTCGCGCCGCCTCCTCCTTGCCTGGAGAGACGGGGGGAACTGGGGGAGCGCCGCACTCGCACTCCTGCGGCGGGGCAAGCGATTGGTCCCACTGAACTTCAGCAGCGCCCTGTTGACGCCCGAGGCGGTCCCTCCGGAGCTCTACATGCAGGAGGAGGAGGGGAGGGCCCACTGGCGCCACTTCAAGGTCCCTGAGAGGGCCGACCGCGGGGAGGGAGGGCGCCCCACCGCCCTCCAGGCGGCCGGGACCTGGAAGAGCACCCGGGAGTCGGAGGGGGACGTCAGGGTCATCCTTAGCCCGATGAGCAGCGGGCCCGACTACCCACTCTGGCACCCTGGCGAGGTCTCCGGGCACTACCCCGTGCTATTGGAAGACACGCGGGGGGATGGCACCCCTCGGGTGAGGCGCTTCGATCCCAAGGAGGCCTGGCAGATTTCCGGGGGCCTCCTTCACGATTGGCGGGAGGGAACCCGAGCGGGGGTCCCTGAGGAGGTGCTCCTCATGGGTGCCGCCCGCTCCATGCCGCCCGTCTCCGCGCACCAAGCGCCGTGGGCAGCGGCCAGCGCGAGGGAGGGCCTCCTCGCGGAGGGAGCCCGGGCAGGGGTGCGCCGAGATCCTGATGAGGACTTCATGGCCGCGGCCAACGCGACGTGGTTCAACGCCTGGAAGGCTAACCCCGAGGACCCCCGGACTGCTTACGAGCGGTGGCTCCGAGAGGCCCGCGGGGCCCGGGCTGGGGGACCACCCGGAGGGACCCCGCAGAGCGGAGGTGCAGGCCTGCTGGGCGGCCCCCACTTGGCGGGGCCCGCTCCCCCTTTGCTGGGGCCCCGGACGCGGGGGACTGGGGACTCCCTCGCCCCCTCCAGCACCGCCCCCCCGACGGGGACGACGTGGGCCGAGAGGGGGGCAAGGGGCCCGCGCCTGAGGCGCCTCGCCCAGGAGGAGGAGGAGGGTCATGGGGACGCTCACGGCGGCGCCCCGCGGCCGGAAACCCCAGACCCAGGCGGAGCCCCAGTGCCCTCTGCTGACGGCGGAGGGGGATCAACCTCAGATTGGGGGAGGCCACCTGGCGGACGAGAGGGGGCGCCTACGGGGCAGCCTCATCTTCGGGAACCTCGCGAAGGGGACACGCACCTCATACGCCGTTGCGCGGAGGCAGCGGTGCCTTTTCCTCAAAGCCCGTGGCGGGGGCCCGCTCCTCACGGGGCTGGGGAGGGAGGGCCGGCGGCAGGATGAGGACGCGCTCCTGGACTGGATCGTCCACCTGGCCCATGTCCAGCACCGCTCGGAGGGGACGATCCGGGGAAAGCTGATGGCGGTCCGCCACTACCATATCGCGGCGGGATACCCGGACCTTCTGGAGCTGGCCCCCAGGCTCGCGCTGGCGCTGGGGGGACTACGGAGGATGGGCGCCAAGCAGAACCGGAAGTACCCTGTCACCATTGAGATGATGCGCTGGCTAAAGGGGAAGTTGGACACCGGGAGGGTAGGAGACGCGGCCGCCTGGGCCGCCCTCACCACCGCCTTCTTCTTTATGCTGCGCGCCTCCGAGTACCTCGCCGACACCTCCGGGGGTAGGGATTGGGCGGCGGAGCGGGTCCTCTTCGGGAGGGATGTCACCCCGAGGAGGGAGGGCGCGGTCTGCCCCACCTTCGCGTCCGCGGACGAGGTGGTTATCTACATCAAGGGGAGCAAGACCGACCAGTACAATTTCGGATGCTGCCGCAGCCACTACGCCACGGGCAATCCCCTTTGCCCTGTCGGAGCCCTCGCCGAGCTGGAGAGGCTGGCGCCCCAGCGGTGGACCTCGGAGGGAGACCCCCCTCTCTTCCGAGACGGGGATGGGAACCCCATCCGGCGGAAGGACATCACCGACCTCTTGGGCCAGGCGGCGAAGGCGGTGGGGATACATCCCTCGCACATCGGGGGCCACTCCCTGAGGATCGGAGGCGCCACGGCTATGTACCACGCCATACCAGACCTGGAGCGGCTCAAGCGGTTCGGGGGGTGGAGGTCGGGTGCCTTCCACGCGTACCTCTGGGAGGCGCACGAACCCCAGAAGGGCCTCTCGGAGGCGATGTCCGCCCAGAACTACAACCTCACCTTGGGAAGCTCGAACCGCCTGGGGCAGACCCCACCCGAGAAGGGAGGGGGGCGGGTCAAGTTCCGGGAGGAGCCCCCGGAAGAATACCACGCGCGCAGCTGACCCGGAGGCGCCCCGGCGGGAGCAGCGTTGTCCCCCTGCCGCGCGGGCCCCCTCCCAGCCCCACCCGGTTGGCGGGGCGGTAAGCTGGGGAAGGGGGGATGCCCGTGGAAGCCATGGCTGGCTGGCCGTAGCATGAATAAGCGGAGGGGTGCTGCCCCCTCACCGTATGCCTGTTTTTCCCGCAAGCAGCTGGCACCAAGCTTGCGGCCTTGCGAACCCCTCGGGCTCCAATCTGGGGGAACCCGCCGGTTTTGACGGCGCCCAGTTGATGTAACCCGTGGAAGGCCCCCCTCCGGGGAGCGGAAGAGCTGCGGTGGGAAAGGTTGGTGCGGTGCTGGATCCGGCGCGCCGCAGTGGTGACCCTGTGCGCCCGGGGAGTTGGCCTTCTGCAGCCCCGCCCCGCAGTGCCCCCCGGAGGGGCGGATTTTGTTTTTTGCAATACTGTTTCCAGTATTCGCGTCACCCCTCTGCAGCTGCAGCTAGTTGCGGTGCCGCGCTACTGTGATTAGTGCGCTTGGCACCCAGGGTTTTGCGCGGGGTGATGGCGGGCCCGCCTTCCTTCCTCCTCTCCGGCTCCCTGCCCCTCGCCCCTCCTCTGTCTCATTGGCGGGCCCCTAGGGCCATCTTTGTTTGGAGGGAGGGTGGGCGCCGTTAGGGCGATCCCCCTGGGGAGCGGCCCGGGACGGGCGTGGGCGGAGAGCCTGCGGCTGTGCTCGCGGTCGTCGCCAAAATATGGCTCTCCCTCCTTCTGTTCAGTTAACGGGGCTAGGAGGGGAATGTGGTTTCGTTTGGCATGCGCCTAAACGGTTTTATCCCCCCCTGGCCGTAGTGCTCTGTCGCCCCTCCTCCTTCCTGCTCCCGCAGCTGTTTAGGTTAAGCGGCGCTTTTTCCACCTCCCACCCCACAACTCTGTTCCCCCGTCTTTTGGACGGGGCGGAGAGCATGCGGCTGTGCTCGCGGTCGTCGCCAAAATATGGCTCCCCCTCCTTCTGTTCAGTTAACGGGGCTAGGAGGGGAATAGAGAAGTACCATCCCAGAAGACATTATCACTGCAAGCCAAATCCTCCACCGAACTGCCGTCGGGTGCTCTCAAGGATCCCACAGACCTCGGCCTGTGAGAGCCAGAACGCGGCAGAGAGGCGAGAGGCGCCGCGGAAGAAGAAGCAGAAGACGCCGCTAGCTCTCCATGCCCTCGAGCCACTCCTGCAAATCCCGCTCGAGGAAGGTCGGAGGTGCCTTGCCAACTTTCTTCTCCGCGCCCTCCGCGCACTCGAAGGCTTTGTTCATCATGATGCGGAACTGCGGGTCGCGAAACGCGACAGTCACCTTCCTCATGCCCCGTTGGAAGACTTTCTCCACTCGACAATGCAGCACCAGGTCGCACTTCTGCTCCATCGGCCACTTGTCGTACTCCGCGAACGCCGTGTTCAGCTCCTTGTGCAACGGCTCGGGCATCGAAAATCCTGGCGTTCCTGGCTTGACGTCGGCGTAGGTCTTCAGAGCTCCACCGAGTGAGTAGATGTGAGGTGGCCCGAGGTCGTGGTCTTTCTTGCCTTTCACGTGGTCGGCGTAGTTGCTCGTCTGTTCCTGCGTTGCCAGCACGATGGAGCAAGTCTCCGCCAGAAGCCGAACGTCGTAAATGACGGCTTGAAGCTCGCGTAGTTGTTGAGCGCTCCTCAGCGTTTGCCTCGACATCAGTCCGAGCATGGTCTTCTCGCCGTGCTTGAGCGCCTTGACCTCCTTCAAACCTTGCTCTTTCTTCGCCTGGTCGGCGTCGGGTTGACGCCGGCGCACTTCGCGGCGAAAGCCGCCCTCTTGCTGCTCCTTCGCACCGAGGACGCCTGGCATCCACCAGGCAGGTAGATGCACGTGGATGTGCTCCTCGTGAGAGCACGAGGGCGGGCAAAGGGAGTGGGAGATGAACAGTACGTATGTGCGTGAAGAGCTCGCTCGTGGAACCAAAAGGGGCTACAGAGCATAGACCACATTGTAAGTCGGTTAGCTGTTGTAAATCCCACTTCATATGCGCTCTCCCCACTTGACATCTCCCCTGGGCATAAGCTCGCTTTAAGTGATGACGAGTACTAGCCACATCTCTGAATACTGGACAGCAATTCGGACACTGGTTGGTAATGACCCCTGAGTTCAAGACAGACCGAATCCCATGATGAGACGTCTGGCGTGCAATAAGTTGCTGGAACGTAGGGAACCCAAGGGCGCACGGAGTACCTGTAGCATCTAGAATAGTACATTTATGTTGCTCAGCTCGTGTTTCTTGTTGACTAACCGTAACAGGGTTGAAAAGCTTGTCAAACAAAGACGAGTTGGTCAATACTGCGGCCCGAAGGATACTGGGATCTACTGCTAAGAATTCGTGTGCTGCATCAGAGTTGCAATTGAATAACTCTATCCAGGAATCATCGGTGCCCTCCAGACCTCAAAGAAGCTCTCCGTGCCGCTAATACCTCGGTAAAGCTCTAGGCCGTGTCGGAATTGAAGAAGCCATGGATTTGCTGTATTTCGTATTTGGCCCGTGTCAGTAAGGGCTGGTTTTTCGTTTAGTATATGGCCACAAAGTACAGCAATAGTTTGCGCGTGGGCTGTGGGGTACTTTATCATACTCTGTAACCATCTGACCCGTCGTACTGCAAGTTCCCCAAAGCTCGGCAAGATTCGCCAATCCCGAAGAACGTCGCCGTTGCTCTGCGAGACCGCATGGGAGCCCGACCAATCAGTAGCCGAGCCCTTCATGAGCACGCGAAGGTAACGAACTACGACAGTGTCAAGCCTAGCATGTTCACTCTTAGAAAGTACGAAAGCCTCAAGGCCCGTGAGGCCCTTCTCCACAACCGCACTCAGAAACAACTCACGTTTTAGTCGACGAAGACCCCGTTCATGCCAAAAGGAACCCATGACACTCCATCCTGCCCGCATGCCCCGTATACGAAGGTCGATCTCCACCCCGTTGTTCCCCTTCATAGTGTAGCGTGCGCCTAGATGTCGTGCGTGTGCTTTGACTTCCCCGTGCAATTCGGGACATTCCTCCTGCAACCTGCGATTAGCAATCGTAGAGCCAAGATGTGGGATGATGTCCTTCTTAGTCATGTTCTGAGAGAGCCTGTGCTGGGTAAGAATATCATTCATCGCGCGGTCACTTTCAGCTATATTCGAGATCACCTGGTCTGTCGAAAGCCCAAGGGGGAGAAGTCGCTTGCGGAATATATCATCAGCAAACCCCGAAAGAGAGCAATCAAGAAGGGCACGATCAAGGACTTCACACTGAGCAGGGATGAAAGTATGCGTAGGGTGCGCGCGTATCTGTTCAACTGTATCATGAAAGACTCCAACGAACTGCTTGGGCATTTCAGGATCCCTGAAAGCCTCCATTTTTTGTCAAGAAGTAGTGCCGGGTGCCTCCCAACTTAAAACTCACGACCCCGTTCTTCAACCTCTGCTCCGCAAACACTTGGAGATCAGGACGTACGATACTTTCACTCAACTTAGATAGCGACATGGTACTAGGGCACATAAAAGCATTGCTAAGATCATGTGGTTCATTAACTTGTGGTATACCAAGAGAGCGAAGAGCATGGCCGACTCGCTGCTGAACGAGGATGGCCCCTTCCCGTCGCCTGCGACGTAAGAAGCCATGCCACCAACCAGGGAAATTCGAATCATATGCCTTGGCCTCCTCCCCCCACGTGTAAATGACAGAATGCCAAAGCTTCCAAAACGTGTCCAGGAGGTGGATGACCCGAACGCTTTTCATGTTTTTTGACCATTGCATTTGTCCAGGAAGACCCCCTCCGTAGTATTCGCTTTTGTAGGTAATTGTTCGACTTGTTGAGCGTGTATGATGATTTCAGTAAACTCCCGACGGGCACGCAGCAGAGATGAGGACGACTGAAGACGATTGACTCGACCATCATCCGCTCGTACCCCTCCTTCCTCTAAAGTCCCTTCGCCAGGATTTTGCTCCGCAGGCGGAAGCGCGGGAAGCGAAATCTGGCGGGGCATTCCTTCACAACGCTCTCTGAGCAGGCCTAAACCAGGAGTCTCAGGAGTGTCGAAGCCGATGCCGAAACGCTGAGATCGTGTGCGCGAGAGGTGACCAGGGTCCAGCACCATCAATGCAATCTCAGCTGGCACACTCCAGCTGACCGTGGCCCGACGCTTCTTTGCTCGTCGAAGTTTGCATATCAAGCGATTCACCGAGGCGTCTGCAACAAGCTCCATTTTGGTCGTACGGGTCAGAGTGCCCGCTATCGGAGGTACTGCCAGAAAATCCGCCAACTGCTTATCATAATCAACTAGGCGCGTCGCTTCCATGCCTCCTTCTGGGCACTGTTATGGAGTCTCCAAGACCAGAGCAGCGCCCCAGTCTGCATTATCTCTGACAATCTTGCTGCAGTCTAGTTTTCCGAGCTGTTGGCCAAGCCGGCCAAGAACGCTGAGGAAGCCCACCTGATGCAAACAATGATGGAACTAGCAAACCAGAGGCGGCCTGTCACGGTCAGCCATACCCACGGGCACTTCGGAGATCCTTGGAACGAGCTCGTTGATGTTATTTCGAAGCTTACCTCGGGGATCCTCCTGACGGACAATTTCGAACCACCGAAGATCCCTGAAGCCTTAGGAAAAGCGGTGGACTTCCATCCAGCGGTCGAGTGGCAATGGTTGAGGAGCGCTGATCAGCTAGCCGCCGCGTGTCCCCGCCTGGAGGGCGACGCGTTCCATTTTGAGACGGCGCCCCATCTTGCTGCTGCTCATCACTTACCCTCTCCCGAGAAGGCGTCTCCAGTAGAAGCAGAGTTGGACTTTCGGGCTGCTTCTTATAACCCCGGCTCGCTCAAGGCCTCGGTCACCAAAAAAAGCAAAAGCCACCGCGAGACGCGAGCTATTCGTGGCCCAGGCACTCTTGCAGACGTGTATGATTATCGGCGTCCAGGAGGCCAGGAACCCCAAGAAAGCCCAGAAGGCGAAAGGTTACCTTATCTATACTTCTGGCGGATCTGGCCCTAAAGACAGAAACCACGGGGTGGAGCTATGGCTATCTACTACGGTCCCATATGGGCATAAAGATGGCAAAAAACTTGTTCTCGGTCCTAAATGTTGTGTTGTGGTTTACGCTGCCCCGAGGTTGCTAGTGGCTGAGGTCAAGGCCACAGCGTTAGATCTCACAGTGGCAGTGGGCCACGCACCGCACAATCAGGCCCCTGAGGCTGAGCGGGGTGCCTTCTGGAAGGCAGCCGAGTCATTGAATGATAAGTGGGCCTTCGACATCCTTTTATTAGATGCCAACGCCAGGCTCGGCGAGGTCACTAGCGAGTACGTCGGAGGCGAGCAACACCCCCAGCCCCAAGATAAGAATGGCGACGCTGTGCACAAGTTTTTGGCGGAGGTGGAGGTTTATGCCAATAATACTCTTTTACCTGCTTATGGCCCTGGACATACCTGGACCGCGCACAACATGGCCACGCATAGGATCGACTACATATGCGTTAACAAATTCCTGTGGGACCACGTCCGCGGCTCTACCCCCCTCCATTGCTTTGACTCTGGCGACAAGCACATCGATCATGTTCCCGCCCAGGCCGCTCTTGCGTGGAATGCTCAGGGCCGGGTCAAGCGAGGAGCCAAAGTTCTGGACCGCGAGAAAATGAAGGACCCACACGCCCAGGATAAGTTTCGGGCCCTACTTCGGGCCGTCCCTGTCCCGCCTTGGGCTCACAACATACATGATCAGGTCAAGCAACTCACGGACCTTGCGAACGCCTTTGCAATATAATGTTTTGCTGTGGAGGCCCTGCGGCCCAAGAAACCATACACGTCCAGAGCTTCTTTCGCCCTTATTAGGATCCGAAGAGCCTGCCTCAGGGCCGGGGGAAGCCAGTTTTCGACCCAGGACCCTCCCTCGATCGATCAGGCTCGAAAAATATGTGCCTTGGCTTGCCGCCTCACTCGGGGGGGCCTGGTTGATTTTGTAGGAAAAACGGAGGGTTCGCCCGCTGCGCCGATGGTACAGTTTCTTTGCACCCATGCCAGGCTGTACATCCGGCGGCAAACGACCCCCCATGAGTGGGCTTGTGCCATCGCGGGCATTTTGAGCCTTAGCAGGCCTGCCCTGGGAGGGATGTTGAATGCCGACAAACAGGGTTTCCTCGACCGACAAGCTGAAGACATTCGCGCCCATGCTGAGGGCAAGCGTAGTCAGAGGGAATGGAACACTGTTAGAGGGGTCCTCGCTTTTGGCGGCCGCCCGCCCAAATATGCTTGCACTTTGCCTATGCGACACGATAAGGAAGGTAACCCCATCCCTACCATTGCCAAGATAGCCGAGCACATGCAGACTTATTTTGGTGACATAGAGCATGCCAGGCAGTTGACTCCTCAGGCCCTTGTTGATGAGTATAATGCTAGAAGCTCGATTATCCAGATCGACACGCAGCTTAACATTTCTGTGGTTCCCTCGCGAATTGAGTTGGCTAGACGATTCGCGGGCGGTCCCAGGGGCAAGGCGGGGGGGCCCGATAAACTGACTGACGACCTTTTGCGCGCTGCGCCCCACGAATGTGCTCGCCTGGCGCACCCTGTTGTTTTCAAAACCAGCCTTTCAGGCGTGGAGCCAATCCAGTTTAAGGGGGGGCTTGTTGCGGAGATCCCGAAAGGTAAAGGAGCCCCCCATCTCGATATTGACTATCGTTCTATTCTCCTGGGCAACGTCATACCCAAACACCACCACCGTTTCCTAAGAGACAGGTGGAAGACCCTCCTCGGCATGATCCTCAAAGCTACTCAATGTGGCGGACGCGAGGGCATGGGCACAGACCATGCTACCCATTCGGTCTTGTCGTGGTTACAGGTGGCCAAGGCCCAGGGGA